TTTCGGTAAAAAATGGCACCACTCGGCAAAATTAATGTAATCGAAACAATTTGGTTACATTCTCTCATTTTACCGAGGGTAACACTCGTAAACATGACCATTACCGAGTGTAACACTCGCAAAATTTGTCCACGATATTTTTTTGTTTGTTTCATTGCATATCCAGCCACAATTAACAACAATTATATCGAATATCACGATTACCAACAGATAGACATTATATATCACATATATGTCCACAAATGTCACATCCACTCATTATAACCAACATATAGCTACAACAAATGTCACAGCACAATGCAAAGTCCACAAACACCATCAACATGTCCAAAGTCCACAAAGTTCAACCCACTTCTAAGTTCAACATACAAACAAGTGAAACATGGTCCTGTCACATGGTGGAGCCCTACCGAGAAAGCGGAGACAAGTCCAAGTCTTGATCGTTGTTCGATCTAGTCAGAAGGTCCCCGGAATGAGGGAGCAAAAGAAAATAAACATATTTGTCAATTAATCATAAGGTAGTATGCCAAATTCAAATATTCCTTCGAAAGACCGATTAACAAAGACATCAATATATAGGCATATAATAGATAACACATATCAAGTTAGTTCTTTGTTTAGGTCTCCTCTATGTGCAAGATATCGTCACACATGGTCGAGTAGACCGAACATGAATTGGGCAAACACCTATGTACTCATGTAGAACCTAACATGATGCCTTTCAAGGTCTGAACAATATTACTAATAATCTAACTTATACATGTATGTATCCTACTCTCTTCTAGGTTCCTAACATGATAGTGTTGATCAGAGCACAATCTGAATGAAAAAGCCTTTCAAGATGAAGAGTGACTCACGGGAGTGCTGTCATGGAGGTGGAGGCACCAACGTATCATCGGCGGTGGCGGAGGCGGTGGAGGCTGGCCCATGCTCGAGAAAAGCTGGCCATGTACTCGTGCCGGGCCTTCTGCATTCTTTGGAAGGCCTCAAGCCGGGCTGCACTCGCGCCCTCTCCCTGTGCCAACTCGGCTGGTGCGCGATAGCCGGAGGGCTGGCCCGGCTCTGTGAGGCCTGGCTGACTCTGCAGGGCTTCAATCTGGGCCTACAATTATTTATCACATAGTTAGAATGCAAATAAAGAACGGGTAGAAAATGAATGGACAACAGAATGCAACAGAACTAACTCAGGAGTGCTACCACACGGGCCGTGTGGCGTGGGCGTGTGGCCGGGCTCGAACTCGTGCTCGGGCTCTAATCTGGCGAGTGTCTGTGTGTGTGGCCGTGTCTATGGTGTTGTTGCCCATATAGTACCTCCCGTGTGGCTTACCTGGTCCCAACCTCATGACGATGTCACCCTCGAGGTCGGGCGGTGCTCGGATCAAATTCGCCCATGGATCTCTCTCGCCATCGCCGTGTACTCCGAGGCGATGACCGCCACGCCAGTTCTGTATATGCCTCGGGCGGGTCCTCCGGGTTGTAGACGAGGTCGGGGTCCTTTGCCTTGCCCTTGTGTGCCAAGGCATATGCCTTGAATGAGGCACACTCCTGGCCGGGGTGGAACCGCGTCTGCAGGAAGAAGCACAACAATAAGATATTATGCATTCAGAAGTTAGCGTAGCAACAACGAAATGAAATCCGCGTACATATCTGGCTGCATATTCCTTGAGGGTAGTGGGCCCTTGTTTGTGCGAGGAACCCTGCATCATCGCACGGCAACGTGAGCGTACGGCGTGATATTTTTCTATTTAAAGGCAATGTGAACCCCATGGATGCACTAAAAATATTTTTCAAGAAGCATCCCACCCCTTCCCATGCTCCCATACTCCTATTTTTTTTAATAAACACCCAAATGTGCCCAAAAATTCCAACAAAAATATGAATAGATAGAAAGGGTGCAAAGTCCTATGTTCATGCATAATCTGAGATGTGACAAGATGCAAAAATATGAAATCTGTACTTGAATAGTTGCATGTTTTGGATCAGAAAAAAAACAGTGCAACCTGCAACTATCCAAACGCTGAGTTCACTTTTTTGTATCTTACTGCATATATTTTTGTTGCATCTAAGATTTTACATGAACATATAACTTTCCATAATCTATCCATTCATATTTTTGTTGGAACCTTTTGGCACATTTTGGTGGTTATTTTTCAAATGGGAGCTAGTGAAGGGCCGGGAGGGAGCAGGATATGTTCTCACCCGATATGGCCATAACCAAAGTATAATAGATATATATGTGCACACTTAAATTTGCAAATTTATCGGCATTTTGGTTGAATTGAGCTACTCAAGTATTAGTATATAATGTGTATATATAATTATATATTAGGTTCGTTGTCAGCCAATTTCCTGATCGTTTTGAACATTCAATCTTATTCGTTTTTATTGACATATACATTTCTGAACAGTTAGCTGTTAAATTGGAAATATGTGTGAAAACTTCAATCAAGATTCACCGGGAGGAGCAAAACTAACAATATCAATCTTAGATTGAAATCTGTATTTTCTCTGGTTAGCACAACGCTTCTTTAGTTTCAGCAGCAACCACACCTTTCTTAATCATCATAGAATTTATATGCATTTAGGCACTCTAGTGTAGCTTTAGACTTTCGCCTCCAAAAGCTTCCTTCAGAGTGCTGTGTGTCTGTGTGCTCTCGACCTTTCCTATCAACCTTGCATCCATATGTCTATGTATAGAACATAATCATACCATCAATGTTGCGGATAGCTAAATTATTTGTGTTGGCTCATAACCAAAGGTTTTTAATTTAAGCCACTTAGTGGCAGCCACCTCCAGAACTATAAAAAAATTAGTGGGATATAGAGTGATAGTGAACCAAAGGTTCCTTACATTTAGGTTGAACAAATCATGACCTACTTAGAAAAAAGGACACTCAATCAAATGAAAAGCATCACAGCGCCATGATGTTTGCAGCCATCTACTAATACTAGTTGCATCACTGGCGCCACCAGACGGAGGAGGGGGTGGGCAACAGGCAGGTACACAGGCGTCGCCGAGGGGAGCGAGCGGGGTCCCTTGTCGCCACCGGTGCAAGGCGGGAGCACGTCTGGAAGGGGAGGCCGCGGTCGGGGAGGGAGAGAGTGCTCGCCGTCAGCTGGCTGCTGGGGCCCACCCCACCCCACCTCAAGGCAGGGAGCGGAGGAAGGAGGGAGCAGGCGGCGTCGGAGGAGGATCGATCGTCGTCCAGTCTTGCGCCGCAGGTCACTGCCTCTCTCTCGTCTCTCTCTCTCCGTCTCTCCAAGGCGGCGGCCATGGGGACCGACCGCCTGGGCGGCGGTGGTGGTGGAGGAGGAGGCGGCGGCGGGTGGGAGGCGTGTGCGGTGTGTGTGTGAAAGTAGGAAACGATTTGAGGGAGAAAGCGGCTTGTTCAATGCTTACATTTGCAGTGCCTAGATGTACGGCACTCGGTAAACTCAAGCACCAAGCCTGGTACATGTTTACCGAGTGCCCCGATCTCGGCACTTTTCGGTAAACATAAGCATGTGAGTGTGGTGGGCCGTGGCTAACCTTTTTACCGAGTGTTTGAGGTCACACTCGGTAAAAGTATCCATTATTTCATGCAAAAAAAAAAAAAAAAATGCCAATTTAATCCTAAAATTCACCAAACTTTCACATGAACTATTTCATGTCATCTATTTACTATCTAAAAATTCCAAGTTCAAATCATAATGTTGAATTTCACTCTTAATAGAAATCCTACTCGCCATTTTGAATGTTTAGCGTCCCTTTGGGAGATGTACCGGGTTCAAATGACGAATGTAAAAATACTTCCAAAACGTTATGAAATTTTTTCTATAACATAGATGTATGCTTCAATGTTAATTCTTCCAATCTTGTGATTTATCGAGTTCGATTTTAATTATTACAATTAAATTCACACGATATGTTCCTAATTTTCATAAAGAATGAAAATTTTGTGAAATATAGTAAATAAATCGAAATAAACACCATATTTTGGAATGGAGTACTAAATATCATATGTGGATAGAGGAAAAAGAATGAAGGGAAAAACAAGAAATTTGGTTGAATTTTACCGAGTGTTGGGAAAATACACTCGGTAAAAGATAGTGTTTACCGAGTGTATTGGCCCAACACTCGGTAAAAATTTCATGTTTGCCGAGTGTATGATCATAACACTCGGTAAACATGTCATGCCTTGACGCCGTTTGGGCACGGTTGCTATCCTAGGTGACGTGGCACGTCAATACCGAAAGTGACCGTTTTACCGAAAGTGCACCCCTTGGTAAACTTGTGGTTTTACCGAGTAACCGAGTATACCGAGTGTGCTTTGACTTCAGTAAAGCGGTTGACTACCGGGTGTTTATGTTTTCAGTGTTGGCACTCGGTAATCACTTTTTTCCGAGTGCCCCGACTTTTGACACTCGGTAATTGTCGGGGCACTCGGTGACTACACAGTCTCCGGTAGTGCCGGCAGCTTTGTTTGCTTGGCGCTGCGCACAGTTGGCGTTCCTGTTGATGTGGGCGGCGCGGTCCTCCTCGATTTCCCCATCCCGTGGGGGGCTGTTGACGCTGACGTTGAAAATTCAGCCTCCATGGAAGGGAGGGAAAGGAGGTTGTACGGCAGTGGTTTCAGTGACAGTCTCTATAGAGCCCTAGGACTCAGAGTCTAGATTTTCCTCCAGGATGGTTTGGAGGGATGCCTCGGGGCATCGACCGACGTGTAGCTTGTTGATAGCTAGCGAGAGCTGGTCGGCGAGAGGATGGATATCTCCAAACTATCTGATAATTATACAAGCAGTTGATAGCTGACTTCTAGTTTCTACAGGTAATAATAGTAATAATAATAGCTTTTGCATTTCATTCCTAAAAAATGTAGGTTATATATATATATATATATATATATATATATATATATATATATGTATGTATGTATGTATATATATAACACACACACACTCACTTATAATAAAAAATCTTTTGGGGGTGGACGTACACGTACACATATGTGGATCGATCATCAGAGGGGAAGTGCGTGAGGGTTATTGGGAAAAGCCGCGACAAAGGAGGAGGACGCCGAAGCCGGCATGCCGCTGATGCTCCTGCCTTGGCCGCCGTTCATCTTCATCATGGTTATGCTGCTGTCGCTGTTCATAGTCATGCTCATGGACGCGGAGGCGATGGTGTTGGTGCTGCTGTAGTAGCCACCGTCGCCGCCATAGGAGGCGGAGATGGAGGAGGGTCCGTATGGCCGCGGGCGCCTGCGCGGTGCGGGCCCCTTCTCGGCCCAGATGAGCTCCTGCGCGGTGACGGCCTTGGAGTTGCCCCAGAAGCAGAATCCGCAGGCGCCGGTGTCGCCGGCACGGTGGATGTACCTGTGGCTGTACCGGCGGCCCAGGCAGTCGATGCACTTGCGGCCCTCCATCATGTCGCCCATGCCGGCGCCCACGCACCGCCGGCAGTACACGCGCCCGCACACCTAATATATATTTATCATCATGACATGTTTTATATATATCCTCTATCTATGCATGATCATCAGAAGACAATGAATGAATAGTTTTGCACACGAACGTACCAAGCAACGATGGCGGAAGATGTAGACGTAGTTGTTGCAGAGTGCGCAGATGTTGGAGTGGGGTATGCCCGGCCGCCTGTAGTTGTTGTTGCTACGAGCCGCACGCCGCTCACGGCCTCCCATGGCATCGTCAGCCACGTGTGATCTCCGAGGACGGCGGCCGCCAGCGGCTTGGTGGTCTCCGGCAGCAGCAGCAGCAGCTGATCTGCTACTAGTAGTCGTGCCTGCAGCTGCTGTCGTTGCTTCTGGGAAGTGGTACTGATGATGATCGGCATAGTCATCGTCGTCGTCGTCGCTGTGGGCGAGGTGTACTGTTAGAGGAGAAGCAGGAATTGGCGGCAGCTGCAGCAGGCCTCCACCGCCGCCAGCGCCAGCAAGACCACCACCATCACCACCACCACCACCGGCGATATCTCCTTGATCCTCCAAGGGTCTGTAGGTGAAGATGTTGGTGGACGACCTGGCCAAGGCGCCGCCCGCCGTGGTCTGCTTCTTGTTGCGCTCGCCATCCGCGTCGTCGTCCACGACACTTACATGATCTGCTATCGCCGCCGCAGCATTATTTGGCAATTTGCTGGTGGTGGTGGCGGCCGCCGCTGGTAAAGGTTTACCGGACGACGACGTGGCGGCGGGAGGCTTGAAGGCGAAGTCCCTGAAGGTGAGATCGACGGAGTCGTCCGGCACGCCCAGGTAGAGATCCTCCAGCTCCTGCCTCGCCATCCTCAACGTCGCCTTGTCGCCCATATACAGATAGATATAGACTACTTCACTCGCACCTGCTTGAATTCCTTCTTCAAGATCAAGACTCGGCCAGTACTTCAAGTTCAAACTACGGAATATCGATCAGTCCATTGCTTGCTGCATCCATATTCCATACATATATATACTAGCTAGCAGACATGCATCATCGTCATCATCGGCCCCTGGATTATTTTATTGGTATATATATACACTATACATCATGCATGAGACATGCTAGCCGGCGCCGGCCGGCCGGCCGGTCAGGCGACGGGTTCGTTCGTTACCTGCAATCCAGCAATGCTATACCACTTTATGCTATGTCCGCTAGTTGTAATCGAGCGCGTTTGCTTTTTTTTCCTCCTTTTTTTATTAGGAATAACAACCACATTTGGCAACCGTATGTAGATGTACACTGCTCTAACTCGTTCTGTTGTGTTTAGTATTTCTGTTTCTTTTTTGTTGCGTGTTTTCTTTTTTTTTTCCATCCCTGTTCTCTTGTGTTCAGTCCGAGTTCTTATTCATTTCGGCTTCTTAGAAATCTCTTCAATAAAAACCTCATGTGTTCCAACTCGTCTTGAACAGACCCACTGTTGCTAGATGTGTACTGCTCTAACTCCTCGATCATCCGGACATTGGAAACATGGATACTTATCTGATCTTTGCATCGGGTATTATAATTCGTCTTTGGGATCATCTGTGGATCGCATCATGCATTTCAACTCGTTTGGGGATCAGACTTCACACCATGTTTAACACGGTGCTCAACTCGTAAAGGAGAAAGTGATAGGAATATATGGCGTCGCGCCACTGATGATGTCGGTCGCCTCCGCTGCCTATGGTTCTCCGACTTTGCTCATCGCTGCTCTTGCCTCCGACTTTGCTCACTGCAGCTCTTGCGATGCCACCATGCGCGCAGCGCATGCTGCGTTGCCGCTAATCTTCTCCAACACATGCTACACCACGGGGCTGGGGCTTTTATGGTTGGCCAACTTGGTAGTGGAAATCTTGATTTTATATAGGCAAGGATCAAGGGTTCAAACATACATGATCATTGAATTTAGGCCTTTTGTGTAGGCCGCTAATCTTCTCCAACATGCTACACCACAGGCCGGCAAGGCGACAGGTTCGTTCGTTACCTGCTAGCCTGCAATCCGTCGATGCTTTATGCTCGATCTGTCCGCTAGTTGTAATCGAGCGCGTTTGCTTTTTTATTTCCTTTTTATTAAAGAATAGGAACCGCATTTGGCAACCTTGCTAGTTTTGTCAGTTATATTATGTAATTATAATATATAGTTATATACTATATGTACAGATAATATAGATGATTCTTCGTTACTTCCTAGGCAGGCATGCATAACATGGATGATCGGCAATTCCGTGGCTGCCAGCCAGATACTTATACATATATAGCTGCACAATGCAAAATATATATATCCCTAGTAGCGCGCTGTGAGAGAGATGGACCGATCATCAACCGAGCCATGGATTCGATGGAACTAATAAGAATATTATTAGACTGGATGGAACCTAGCACATATCGATGGATGGATCGATGTTCCAAGCGGCCGGCATCTAAGATGTTGCATCGATCCGTACCCCCAACCTAGCTCGCTCTGTGTGTGTGTATATATATATCTCTCCGATCCTCAGGTAATTGTTTATATCATACATACATATGTATGCCCAACTTTTCTTGTCCAATGTCAGCGTCAAAACACTCGTGTGACCAATCAGCATACATAGACAGCTACACTCTTCGTAACCAAAATATATTAGTTTGATGCATGGGATCATCTGTCCAATGCTGGCCATTCTGTTATGGTTCCCTTTCGCAAAATTTCCAATGGGTTTAATTAATTGATGGACCTAAGGGCTCCAATGTTTTTTCAATCAATCCTAAGATCTCCAATCATCACCCAAATTTAATTACTACACGGAACACAAGGATCCTAAATCTCTGCTATCTAGTCTAGTATGATGAAGGTCCTCTGTCATGGTCATCGACAACGACGAGTTTCCTCCAGATGCACCGTCACTCGCATAATCTCGTTTGCCGTGAAACCTCCAGACCGTGTATTCCTTGTTGAAATCCCACTTGATCAAGTGAAATTGCACCTCACCACCTTCTAGGACAAGCTTATTCTTGCAGCGAGAACACAGACATTGGATTCCTGCCTATAGATTCACGCTCAAAGTATGCTTTCAGGTAGTGTCAATAAATTTGTTCACCTGATTTATGAAGGGCTGTGATAGCCTCGATATCCAGTACACCATTATGACCTTTCCATGCCCGCTAACCTTGCACACGTAGCGAACAAGACAAAGTATAGTAGTATTACAAAGAAATTCAAGCAAATGAAGAACTAGATCTGTTTTCTCTCTTCTCCACCATAGATCTAGTTCTAGTTCTAGATCTAGCTAGATCATCCAAAACTTGAAAAAGATAGCAGAATAAAGAGGTGGGATCACGTAGCAACCTCCTATGTTGTCCTCCTTCAAAGAATCCAAGAGCAAAACTCCTCCCGTAAAAATGGTGAATTTTCGAAGTTTTAGAGCTCAAACCCCGTTAATACTCCATTAACGGAGGTGGTAGCCTTATCAAAACCGCCTCTGTTAATCGATTTACCGAGGCAAGTGGCTTAAAACATCCTCCTCCGTTAATACTTCATTAACGGAGCCGGTCATCTAAAGGAGGCTTCCTTGGTTCATGGTGTATTAACAGAGGCAGAGTCCTTATGTTGGTTGCCTCTATTAACCCTGAACGCAGGAGGGCGCCTGGCCACGGGCCTTGCCATTGATTAATGGAGGCGGCACATAGTTGTGCCCGCCTCCGTTAATCTGAGAGCAGTGCCTCGCGAAATCATTTGCCTGAATTCCTGATCAGTTTTTCAGTGACAAAAAATGTGTCAGGGAAAAGGCTTCAAAGCCATCAGGGACTATGTTCCACATCTCGGTCACCGTCAACAAGGGTTGACTGACAGGGAAAGTTATGGTAGTCGTGTCTACGTGGCGCGTTTTTTATCGGTGTTGTGGATAGCCATCAGGACACAACTTTGTGCCACGGCCAAGGGACTACTCACCATGAAAGGTCTCTCCCGTTTGGTTACTTACATGTCACCGTGCCACTTTTGCGTCGGCCAAAGGAGCACGCGAGCAATAGCCAATAGAGTCGCCCATGGCCTATAGCTGCCACCGGCAGCGGCGGATCCAGAAATGGGTGAGGAGGGAGCTAAATTATAGAAGGCTAGAAATTTTACTAGATATGCACCATTTGGAAGTCTAAAAATCTTAATTGAATTGCTATTATTTTTTACTAGAAGGGTTTATCTAGAAATAGTTTATTTGGTTTGATTTTTTCCATTCAAACTTAATGATATTCATACGCTTTTTTCAAGGACAAACATTGCCATTCATCAAACAGACACATGATGAAATGAAAACCCAGAAATTGGTACTCTGTGTCTGCAGGAGCAGCTAACACCAGCCGAGCAGGCCACTGACCAGCAGGAGCAGCTAAGCAGGTTGCAGGCACAGTGGCGGACCTCATTACCTCACTGCACTAAGGCAGGCAGAGCAGAGCAGCCGGCACCAGCACCCGAGGGCCTAGCAGAGCAGTCCTAGCCGCAGCTGCGCAGGGGAGGGTCTGAGGGGGCGAGCCGGCGAGGGGCGAAGGGCGGGGGTAGTGGGGGCGAGCCGATAAGAGTGGAGGGCGTGGTCGCGAGTGCGGCGGGGGCAAAGGCAAGGGCTGCTGCTTAGGGTGGATGGACCTGGGCTGAAGTGTCGCTTCCTTAGAATTAGGCCCATGCATCTGCCCCGGCCACTGGTGCTCCACCTTCCGGCAGCCATCTTCCTTGCTCGCTCTCTGAGTAATAAATGCCCCGGAAATAAAATGCAACATTGTTCATCGTCATTTGCATCTGTCTGATTGTTGTCTTCGTCTCCTGGGGCACAGCACAAATGGAGGCCAGCACCTCCTAGGTATGATATTTTATAATTTCAAGTTCTATTATATATGGATTTTCACAAACTTTTCAACAAGTCCAAGATCATCAAAATGGAGTCCAAAACAAAAAATATATATACGGCAGAAATACCGAACCATCAATGAAGTGTGCAACTTATCGATGTTCAACGGATGATTCGCCAAGGATTTTAACTGATCTGGTGCAGTAATTTTTTTTATAATATTATAGAGTACATCACAAGCTTTCCAACACGTAAAAGGTCATAAATAAAACAGAATTAGGAGCTAGCAGATATGGTAAAATTATGGAGAAGCCAATGATGATCTGGTGCATTTCTAAGCGTCCGGTGCATTTTCCAACCATCCGGTGCATTGTTTTGGAGGGACCTATAGAGTACTTCACAAGCTTTCCAAAGAGTACTTCCAAACTTAGAGATATGGCAAAAATAAGACAATGTGCTAAAACAGTACTACGGTATGATTCAGTGGTTACTGTTTTGAACAGGTGCATCATCCTGTGGTGTCCAGTAAATGGTGCACAGAATTCGCACTAATAGAGTGCGCAGCGGAATCCGGTCCGGCTCGCTATACCCATGAGACAACGCCCAAAAGACTAGCCTAATATGGCCTTATATGTCGTGCTCCCCCCACCATCAATTACTATACCGATGTGGTACTAAACCTAACAATCTCCCCCGTCACACATCAAATCAACTCTTCACATCACACAACCCCGTGTGATCTCTGGAAGACGTTATCCAGGCCTCGAGTCCAGCGCTACATATCACACACAACCCGAGTGACCTCCGAGACGTTAACGGACTCCCCCGTCACCATGTGACCCTTGAGATTTTCCTGTTTTTTCCGACCATAGGCTCAGATACCACTTGTTAGAGTGCACAGCGGAATCCGACCTGGCTCGCTATACCCACGAGACGACGCCCTTTGGGCCCAGGTCCACCGGAGCCCACAACATACCAAGGCCTTGGGCCTAACTCAACCCAAAAGACTAGCC